GCAAATAACGTTTTCAAAAAAAAAAACGCGAGCCATTAAAGGGACATGGTTAGCTGCTTGCTAGCAGGTTACATTACAGTAGGCTACATAAGATTTCACTTACCACATAAACAGAGTAAGGAGAGATGACTCAGGACGATGGCGAATGATTTACAGAACCCGAGCACCACTGACAAGCATCTGATCTTGTAAAATGTGTGGTAACTACTGCCACTGTCGTTTACACAGAGCACGTGCGATCGCAAATCTTGAAAGTGGAAGTAAAAAGCTATTGTGCATGTTTCAATGCCCCGCATATTAATAGCGGCTCCCTGATGCCCGCATTTTATATACATTATAGTCACCCAACGATATACAGTAACTGCGAGAGAAAGTGTTGAAATATATATTTTCCCTGTGTTTCCTTCCTGCTGTGAGAGCTACTGAAATGAGCCGCACTGTGAAACAGCCAATCAGAGCAGAGCTCAACATTGAGCCGCACTGTGAAACAGCCAATCAGAGCAGAGCTCAACATTGAGCCGCACTGTGAAACAGCCAATCAGAGCAGAGCTCAACATTATTCTTCATGACCCTTCCAAATACGGTAATAACAGACCATTTAATTCTAGAGACAAATCCTAGGGTTGTAAATGGACATGTAAAACTATTTCTGAAGATGTTTTACCCTTACCTAAGCCACATACCTTCTATGTAGATATCAGAGAACTTAAAATATTGTATCAATGCATTCTATGGCACCTTTAAATATTTTAAAATTTAATTTAAATTGATTTTACACACTTTAAGCAATATCGCATATCGAATAATCGCATTTAACAAGGTATCACATATAGCATTTTTCTTCAATATCATACAGCCCTAATGGATGCCAATATTTTCTGATGACTGCTTTAGTTTTAACTAGGGCTTTTTGTTACTCGGAGCCCTTTGTGTTGCATCCAAAGCAATACAGATCCCAATATCCGAGATTAAGCGAAGCAAAGCTGGTTTTACAACAATTATGGGAAACAAGTCTTGGTGATGCTTCAAGGTGGTGATGTTTTCATTCTGTTACCCACAAGGGCAATTGACTTAGCAGCATTTCACAAAGAACACAACAGAGGGGTTTAGAGATGTGCCTTTAAAGAGTTTAGCAGAGAGATGTTGGAAGGAAAACATGACGGATGTAAACTCCACAGAGTAAGCTAATTGTGTAATTCAAAATTGTGTTTTGTTTTCCATTTTTGTATGGATTCAGTGATTTATGATTTAATTTATCATTAAAAATTGTGTCTAATGAAATTAATTCATTAAACTTTAAGAATGTAATCTTGTAACGGTAATCAACTTTTTGTAATCAAAAATATTTAAGACATTTTAAGACTTTTTAAGGCCTTATATTAGGAAAACGTTATTTAAGACATTAAGACTTTTTAAGGACCCGCGGACAACCTGAAATTATCACTTTCTAATGGTTTTGAGCTGAAAAGGAAAAAGACAAGAGAATAGCAAATGACAAAGGCCTGACAATGTGGTATCCAACCCTGGGCGTAAAACAGAGGAACGATACAGTTGATAAGTCCATCGACAAACGTTACAAAAAATGCATTTTGGGCTCCAGTCAGCGGCA